GAAGGGCAGGGAGGAAGGAAGGAAAGAAGGAAGGAAGGGCAGGGAGGAAGGAAGGAAAGAAGGAAGGAAGGGCAAGCAGGTGAAATAAATCACAACAGCCGGTCGGATTCAGGAGACGCAGACAAGCCGGAAAACAGGTTAACGTCAGCATTACAACAGCAGTGAAAGTAACAGGCGCAGGTCCCGCAATACAGGTGACACCCTCCCTACGATGTTACATCACCGCCACCCAGGTCCCTTCTCGTCAAATACGGCCAAGTTTTTTTAAGAGCTGTTGGGGGGGGGGGGGAAAGAACAACCTTCCTCCCGGGAGGCCTCCCCTCCCTTTGGCAAGCAGGGACCGGCTGGAGCTGGCCCAAATCCTTTCCTGGCCACCAGTGTTGTTGTTTTGCCACATCACGTCCCGCTCCTCCCTCCCGCAGACATCTTGAATGGTTATTTCAGCCCTTTCGCAAGTAGGTTAAGGCATCAACTATACAATGCCTCCCCCCCCCACAAAGAAAAGAGGGGAGGCTGGGAAACAAGGCTCCGGCGGAAGATGCATTAAAGCTGAATAAATTTATTTTTTTCTTTTAAATCAGAGGAATTGAATGGGCGCCCTGGCAAACCAGGCAGCCCTCCTCAAAGGGGTTTTTATCTGAAGAAAAAAAGGGGTTTATCAGCAGACAAAATGCCCCCCACCACCACTTAATAATCTTCCGGAAGCGGGCAAGGAGTGTTACATCACTCCCTTTATTTTCTCCTGCCTTGAATCGGCTCTGAGTCATCCCACAATGTCGTAAGGGTTTCCCCCCCCCCCATTATTATTATTATAACCAGGCCCTACGCAGGAATAAAAGAACAGAAGGCAGCCCAAGTATTTAAGAGGAACCGGTTCCAAGAAATTAAAAAGATGGGCAGCCCTCGACTTACAACGGTTCATTTAGTGGCCGTTCAAAGGGACAACGGCCCTGGGAACAGTGATTGGTGACCGTTTTAGCATTTGGTTGACGGGATCAAAATTCGGATGCTTGACTCATATTTATGACGGTCGCAGTGCCCCCCCCGGGGGGGAGAGCGTGGGTGTCACGCAATCCCCTTTTGCGAGCTTCTGACATGAATCCAGATTCATTTAACAAGCACTTAACACCACGGTTCGCTTAGGGACTGTGGCGAGGGAAGTCATAAAACGAGGCACTTAACAGATGTTTCACTTAGCAGCATATATTTGGGGCTCAACTGGAGTTATAACTCAAGGGCTATCTGTACTCAGGGAGAGGAATAAGCATTAAGCCATCTTCCCCAATCAAATAATGATAAAGGGAAATAAAAATTTAGGGCCCTCTATTTATTCATTGCCCAATAAGGTTTCTTCCTGC